TGCTCTCTCCTCCAAACTGCAGTCTCTGTGTGTCTTTTTCCAGGCCTGAGGTCACTAACCACAGTGAGGAAACAGGAGCATCCCTTTAGGCCTCCAGTCTTAAATGAGGTAGAGAAGTTAGTGGGGCATAGTGGGGAAATTTTGCTGGGAGGGAAAGGAAAAAGACTACCTGCTCTCTACAAGTTCCTACAGCTTCTGATTCAATTTTCCACGTGCTGTGGGCTGGAGAGATCAGTAGTTTCATCCCAAGCCCCAGACCCAGAGTGTTTTAATTTCTTGGCTCTAGTAACTCAGAGCAGATTGAAACACAGGAGGAGAGTATGGAAAAAGCATCATTTGATTATTTCTGGAAAGCTGGTCCATGAGTCCCCTAATGCTTTGTGTGTCTCAGATTGGGGGAGCGATGCTGAGCAGCACTGAAGGTTTGTGGGTGCAGAGTTGCAGGCATGTGTGTAGCCAGCGCTGCCCTTTAATGAATGACCTCCAAATGCTCTACACCTTCAGGTGTCTCAGGGCAAGAGGTCAGTGGCTTTCCTCCTGCTCCTCACTCAGCTGATATTTGTTGCAGCTATTCACGGGCGAGCTCCCCTCCCACGCACACGTTTCAAAAGCCTGTGCAAAGCATTGCTCTTTCTGGGCTTGCCTGTTAGAAAGCAGCCTGATCTGCTGGCCTTTGCCACGAACGCAAAAACTGAGCGACAGGAGCAACTGAGTTAGAGAGCTCAGCTCTGGGAGCGAGGGTCCCAGAGGACTGTGCAGACCCCGGGCTCAGAGGTTTCATGTTGCTGGCTTAGACTTCACAGCACTTCTTGAAGAAGCACTGGGAAATTTGGAGGGTGGGAAGAAGCAACTGAAGTGAAAAGCCACTTGGTCTGGAATAAATACAGCATGTGTGCAGTTACAGCTCTGTGCCTGGGCACCCTGTCTGGTGCCAGCACAAAGGCACTTCTGAGAAGCAGATGCTACACTAGCACTAGTGTGTGAAATCCCATGGGAAGTGGCTGATGTACCAGGCCTGGACTTCCCACGAGGACTGAGGGCTTGGGTCCCCAGTAACCCATCAGCATGCATGCCTCGTTCCTCAGTGGCTCTCAGCATCCTCTGACGCTGGGAAAGGGAGGCAGAGAGGACCCAGGGGCTGCGATGCCCTGACACTGTGTGACATAAGGACGTGTCACAGCGTGTGCAGGCAGGGAGAGCCCGAGAGGCTCCAGCCTCAAAGGCTGAGAGAGCTGGGTCTGTTCAGCCCCGAAAAGAGAAGAGTGAGAGGGCATCTCATCAATGCTTATAAATACCTTAAGGGTGGATGTCAAGAGGATGGGGCCAGACTCTTTTCAGTGGTGCCCAGTGACAAGTTAGGGGGCAACGGGCACAAACTGAAACTCAGGAAGTTCCATCTGAATATGAGGAAGAACTTCCATACTTTGAAGGTGACAGAACACTGGAACAGGCTGCTCAGAGAGGTTGTGGAGTCTCCTTCTCTGGACATAGTCAAAACCCTCCTGGATGCATTCCTGTGCAACTTGCTGCTCTAGGTGAACTTGCTTTGGCGGAGGGATTGGACTAGATGATCTCCAAAGGTCCCTTCCAACCCTGATGATTCTGTGATTCTGTGAAGAACATCCTTTCTGCTCATCCTTCACCCTACACATGGCTAACAGGGGCCACCTGGACATACAAGCATGTCTCTAAGTAAAGCAATAGTCCCTGGCCTTTCTTTTCAGGATCTGCTGGAACTTCTGCCCAGCTTTATTCTTACTAGAAATCTCTGAATTTCTCCAGCATAGGTTTTGAAGGGCAAATGCCATAGGAAATCATGGTTGTCTGTTTATTCCAGACCAACCGTAATACGTGCAAGGACCCCACAAACCTCATCTCCTTGTCAAATGAAACCTGTTTGGGTGATGCTCTGAACCTGGCTAGATTTTAACCAGCAATGTGGCCTACCTATGCCCTGTCTCCTCTCGTGTGGCAGACCACTGGAAAGCCAAACTCAGGCAGCTGGCAGTCCCTGGGGTCCCTGAAGCATGTCCAGTTGGTCTGAGCAGAGCAGCACACAGCACACGCAACACCCATATATTCCCCAGGATCTGCATGTTTCTCTGCCTGTTCTGACATCTGCTTCACATTTTTTGGAGTGCCTAGAAGCACGGCATGGGCCAGATGTGTGTGGAGATTTGTGGCATGGGCAGAGAAGTCACAGCTGGGGGAACATGGCTTATGCATAATGAACACAGACTCCTTCTAGCCTTCAGGCTGTTATGATGTCTCATACCAGAGAGAAGCCTTTAGTCTGGTATTTTGGCAGAATGAATCTCTATAAATTAAACCCCCCACCATCCCTGGATTGCAGGCATTTAAGAGCAAAGGTCTTAAAGCAGCAACACTGCAAGCCCACTGAGACTGGGGGATTAAAGTTGTTGGACAACGTGGCAGGTGTCCCACCAAGCAGCAGTCAGGCAGCAAATGAGCAAAAATATCCCACCAGCTGTGAGCAGCCAGAAGATCCAGGGCTTTTGTCCATCCATCCATCCATCCATCCTCCTGCTTTCCAGTCTGCCAGTCACCGAGACGGGAGTCATGGGCATGGAGGCTTTAAATGCTCCTCTCTGTTGCAATATTTGTTCAAAGCCCGTGATTTTAAAAAGGTCCTGAAGACAGAGAGTTTTAGAAGCACGTGATAGTACTGCAGGCACCCTGGTGCTGATACGTAGTGGAGTAGGTATCTACCATGATGGGACTCTGCAGTGGATTTCATCTATACAGCTCCTTTGTAGCCGCTCCTAAGCCATAGGCACTGTGATGCTCTGATTTTAGCAAACAGAAAATCCATTTGAACCAACCTTCCCAGACCTACAACTGTCTGCAGTCTCAGGGAGTTCACGTCTGCTTTACAGTTGTTATCTCTGACTCTTGCTGTATTGTGGGTTGTTTCAGCTGCAAAGATACTCAGTTGTCCAGTGCTGGGGTTGGGATCTGGTCCCAGTTCCCCTCTGGCTCTATTTTGACTGTGGTGATGCTCTGTTAAGAGCTGATGAGTATTTGTTTGCATGGCCTCTTCATCAGGACACCCACATCTGCAAGAAAAGTGACCAAGCTCCCAGGGTGTTTGAAATTCAGCCTAAGCTCCTGAGCTAAAAAGCTTGAGGCAAGTTCACTGGTATCTCCTGGTTGTCCTGACTTACTGAATCACTTCTGTTGAGTATGAGCTTTGGCTGGTCCCTGCTGAGCTCCAGCTGCAACCTGCAACCTGCAAACAATGGGTACAATCACAGCAAGAGAGACTTCATGGCCTGTGCCATATAATGGGGGCTTTCTAGGATACTAATACCGTAGCCTGAGTTTTACCAGATGCTCTGGCACATGGAGGAGAAGGGGTTTCATCACTGCACGTTTCCATTACACAGCCCTAGTGGACCCTCCTTCCTCCCTGCTGCCTTTCCAGTATCTGAATAAGCCACAGCATCTGTAAATGTACAGCAGGGAAGCTATCACAATGGTGGCATAAATTTGCTTGGTGAATTTATAAACAGAAAAGCCATCCTCCAAAAGATAAATGAGGAGGATCGCCAGGGCCTCGGGACAGCAGTGAGGGGAGAGCCAGACCTAAGCAGTGCTGGGAATGGTCCACTCCAACCTTCTAGGAAAAACCTCTGCTTTGTTGTGATCCTGGGTCTGAAAATTAAACTGCTGACTAGCACAGCTCAGGCTGTTAATGATATATACTAAGGGGACATGTCAGATACAGCAATAAAAATAAACTGAATTGCCTGAGGCAGGCATGGAGGTGCTCTCAGAGGAGTGTAGGAAGGCTTTTCCAGCAAGCAAGTCTTCTTTGCAACCCGCTGCAGTAAGACATAGATATCTTCTGCAAGCAAATATCTGCCTTGGATCTGCTTATGCTGGTGCTTGGGAACCTTTGGAAAAGAAAGGGAAATATGGATCAGACCTTAAATACTGTAGTAATGACATTAATCTGTGTTACATTAGCAGCAGGAGTTTTCACTCACAAGTCTCTGAGCAGAAGCACTTAAGCAAACAGGGAAACAGGTTTGTCCCAAGTAAAACGCGCAGGTTATGAAACAGTGCAAGAGAACAAGAGACTGGCAGGCACCACTCCCAGCTTGGCCCCTGGCTAATGTCATTGCAAGTGTCAGACCTGAGATCCTAAGAAACCCTTTCTGAGCCATCTGGGTCACAGAGCTTTACGATTTGGGGAAAATGGGAAAATCAGTCCAAGAGAGCATGTTTTGCGTGTGCACATCTGGGTGGTGTGCCAAAGCACTTGGCCAAGAGGGATGGTAGCAGAGGACAGACAGACAGCTCCTGAGTGAATGAGGACATTTCTTCAGAATGGTCTGGAGGGATGGAGCCATTTTTCCAGCATGGGTGATAAGCCATTGCAGAGAGCTGCTTGGGCATGCTCTGAAGCCATTGTAAGCCCGGAGCTCACAAAGCTGCTCCTGTTATCCTGCAGGAGCCTTTAAAGCTTTCTGGTACCACCAAGTCCTTAGTTCTGCCCTGTTCAGCGCTGGCAGAGCATCTGTAGCTGTACCTGCCTAACGGCCACATTCCTGATATTGACAACTTGCATGAGCTGGCGGTTGTTAAAGGTACACATCAGTGCAGCTCAGCAGCTACCTGGGACTCAACAGTCATTATCAGCTGAGGAAAGAAGGGCTCAGGTTTAGGTCTTTCCCCACAAGGTGGGATTGCTTGACACTGTGACCTTGCTAGAGCTTATATGTTTGAGCTGGAGATTTGGAGGGAGGGAGCTGTGTCTGCAGCCAGGCATTCAGACAAAGAGCTTTGGGGGTTTCAGATGTGCCGATAAAGGGACACTGCAACATTGCTGAGACCTTTCTTTACAACTCTAGTGGTGACACAAGAACAATAGGGTCACCCACCAAATCCCTGGTCTGCTGGCCAGAATGATGGTGGAGAGGGGTTACGAAAAATCAGTGATTTTCTAAGGGCTGTTATGAAATCTGAAAGGCACAGTGCTGTGACTGAGGCAGGCTCCCAAGGCCTCCTGCAGCTGAAATTCATCAGTACGTTCCACCTCTAAACAGCTCTTGGACCCTTCTGTCTGTGCTCTCACTGGGTAACATGCTTTATCCTCTGTCTCACCCCTTGTCTTCTCTCTGTGCAAACCTCATACCCTAAGATGTGTAGCAAAATGGATTTAAAAGATGAAAAATAATGGCTCTGGTTATTGGTGGCTCAGGCTAGACGTGGGATGCTAAATTGCAGTTCTCAGGATTGCCAGAGAGGAAATACAACATTTATTACTTACTTTTTTTTTTTTTCTGGAAAATATTAAATTCTTCTGCAAGCTGGTTATTTTCCCCAGTGTTCAGCTCTGACCCATTTACCTCCTTGCCAGAGGGTAATCACACCTCGGTGCCGCCTCCTGAACAGAGTCAGGACTGCTGCTGCGTGTGTCACTGTCACTTAGTGCCAGATGCCCGGGGAGAGTCTCCTGCCCCCTGGCACAGCTGATGGACTCCAGCTCCTTCATTATCACCGCAGCAAACGTCCTGGACACTGCTGCCAGCTGAGCAGAGTCAGGCAGCGTCCCTGCCCGAGTTTCAGCCTCTCTGTTCCCAGCTGAAGGGAGCAGGCTTTGAAGTTTGCACTCAGGTGTAACTTCTCTCTGCTTTGAGCCCCATCCCCTTTGACAGTATATTTAGTACTACACATAAACTGCCCTGTCTCTGCAAAGCAGTGATGCTGGTTGTATGTGGCTGCTAGTTGTAGAAAACAGCTCCTTCTTCTTTTTATGTCTTTAATTGCTACCTTGGAAGGACCTGTTGCCAGCACAGGCCTTGCAGTGTGCCAGACAGATGGTGAGGAGCCAGTCCATTACCTCCTTGAGAGAGAGAAATGATGCAGAATGATTTGGCTGGCACAGGCGCACACGGGTCAGCGTGAGGGACCTGCAGTTAAACCTTCGCACGCAGCACCAGGCTGTGCACCGGGCTCCCTGCGCTCCTGTCCCCTCAGCATTTGCCAGAGTTAGTGGAAGGGGAGATGAGATCTGGGGAAAGCTGCAGGGGTGAAAGTGCAACCCCTTGCACGTACCCAAACCACCTCCTCACCACACGCCTCTAGTCTTGGAGCTCTGAGCTGATGGCACCGGTTGCGGATTTGTCCGACATCTGCTTATGGTGCCATTGAGAACAAAGCTGAAGAACTGACAGGAGGACAGCATAGCTGCTGATCCCACCCTCAGAACCCAAATTTGGGGGTGATGGGTGCTGGGTGGCCTTTGCTCTGTCTTATGTCAGGAGAGGAGTTGCACAGCTGTGCATCTCCTGCAGACTCCAGCACATCTCCATCTAGCCTTGACCCCTTGCGACTGGCACTACTAAACTTCCAGCCCTAAGAGGAGGGCTGTTCACTACCTCAACTTCTTCATGGCACAAAGGGGCCACTTGTGTGGCTGGATTTGGTGGAGGTGTGGATCAGACTGTTGAAGAGACCACTGGGCATCCCCAGTGCTTGATGTTTGCCTTTGGCTGGGCCAGCTGCTGGAGCTGCTGGCAGGAAGGGGACTGGGGTCAGCTGTGCCCAGGAAGGCGATTGGGGTTAGCTGAGCCCAGTCCTACTTCAGCAGGGAACAAGCTCTCTCTCTCTGCTCAGCAGCTTTATGGCCATCTACTCTGTGGCCAACTATGAAATAAGCTGGTACCACCCACCGGACTGATGCTGCACATCCCTGACATACGATTTGAGGGCTGTCTGCCCTTGCAGGATGTAAGCCAAGGAGCAAGGCTGGCAGAGGCAGATACTTCAGCTCACCTCTGAGCCAAGCCAGGCAATCTTCTCCCAGTTGCAACCCACAGACCTCAGCCTCGGGCTGAAGCTCTCGTCTGTTGCTCTCCAAAGGCAGCCCTTTGCAGAGGAGTACATTCGATTCAGGGGTCTGGTCATTGGACTGGTAGCAATGCCATGCATGCCTGTACAAGCACAATTCATCTGTTGCCCTTCTTGCCCTTTAATCAGGGTTCAAAGTCCTCCTGACATCCCAGAAAACACTGGTAGATCCTGGCTGGCCTGAGCATTAAAGAGGGACTCAGCAACTGAACTCCCTTCTTGCCCTGCAAAAGGACAGGACAAGGCTAAGCCCTGCTGTCCCAGGATATGTTTGATAAACGTGCAGGGTGCTGAGGGCTTGCCAGAGATGCCGCTTCACAGGGACACTGAATTTGGGCTGAATCCAGACTAAACATTTTCAATTCCTCTGATTCCTCTATACCTGCAGGAGGTTGAAGTCTGCCTTTATTTATCCTTCTTACCGGTCTCACTGAGATTTCAAGGGCATGTATCTCACAGCTAAAGGTGGCCTCTATACTTCAATGCCAGGAGAGAACGTCCCTCCTCAGCCTATTTAGACATTTGATTTCTGATTTGCAGGAGGGGCTACAGACCATGTCTCCAAGTCTTGTTAAAGAAAGCAATTTCTGGTCTTGGTTTTCACAGGGCAGTTGTCTCAGCAATGTAAATCTGAGTGGGGAGGTTTTATGCTGGATGACAGAGAGGAGTCCAGGCTTAGGATATTTATACTGTAGCTTGTACAAAGCTATTGGACATAGTGAATGGATTTGGGGGAGTTATTTCTATTTTTTCCTTCTTCTGGGGAAGAAGCATTGACGTTTACCTTGGAACACAGCCTGAACATGTCATCACCTAAAGGCAGGGTGTCCTGACCACAGCAACTTGCGTTGTTTGTAACAAGTTTTGTGGGATGTGCATTGCCACTGCGAGATCCTACCTAGTGCTGTGATCCTGTCAGATCTCACAAAGTGGCACAGAGCCAGCTCATGATAGGCCTCTGAAGGAAAACTTGGCTTTCTGAGACACTTCTTCTTATGGTAATAGGATACCCTGGCTGAGGATGCTGCCTGGCCTCTATTTGAGGTAGCAACTGAATGTCCTGGTTTGTGATGGCCATCACAGACCCACTGTTGCAGGGATGTTATTTTTGGTGTCTTGCCCCCAGTCCATTCTGCCTCCCTTAGGTCTCTGTGATTTCCTGGTGAGATGCAGGATTCCTCCCCTTTGCCTCTTCAGCAATGCTGTCAGGAAACATGAGGCCATGCACTGTTGAACAACTGCCATGCTCCACCTCAGATGTGGACCAGGTAAAAGCACCTATGCTCGTAGGTGCTCTTTGAGATCTCCAAAACCACCACAATGATGTAAAACCGTGATGTGCCCCAAGTAACTAATCTCTTCTCTTTTTCCTTCCTCCCTCCCCCTTGTCCCCTCTCCTCTCCCTGTTGCCTCCCCTTGCAGTGGCAGGCCATCTCTCTGACAGTCATTGAGAAGGTTCAGATAGCAGCGGCCATCCTGGGTTCCCTCTTCCTCATTGCCAGTATCTCGTGGCTCATCTGGTCGACCTTCAGTCCTTCGGCCAAATGGCAGCGCCAGGACCTGCTCTTCCAGATCTGCTATGGAATGTATGGCTTCATGGACATTGTCTGTATAGGTGGGTGATCGTATCTCATGGCACAGCCAAGGTCGCCTGCCCACTCACCCATGGAGAGGAGTGGGAGACGGCATGGAGAGCCGGCCGGTACGGCTCAGCTCAGATTGAGCCTCCCTGGCTTTTGCTCCTCTTTGCTGTTGCGACCCCTTTTTTACAGTCCTCTCTGCTCGTCTGGGCAGCCCTGGAGTGTGTCCTCAGCTGGGCTGGCAGACGGACCTGGAGCAACCCCAGAGAGAAACAAATCTCTCTTCAGAGCAAGAAGAGAGTGGGGAGGTCTGGGGGAGGCTAGGGAGTGTAAGGCTTTTGAGAAACTCCTTCCTTTCTGGAATAGCTAATTTAGGGACTGCCTCATGGCTGGGTATGGCAGGGTCTCTCCACGTGCAGCTCCTTGGCTCTCCAGCCCAGTCTCTCTGCTGGGCAGGGGTGGCTGTCCCTTGTTTGGCCCGCCCTGGAGCTGCAAGTCTCGACCAGCCCAAGTCATGGCCCAGCCTGGGGTCCTTGTCCCATTGCTGGTACAGAGCAGCTCTGAGGATGAAACTGCCTTGCACTGAGCAAGCCCAGACAGCAAACCAGATGCTAGCAGCCTGGCCACAGCAGGGTCTCCCTGAGAGCTCGAGCTATAGCCCCAGTGCAGGTCTGCAGGATGGGGGAACATATCGGACGATACCTACGGGCAGAAGCACTCACCAGCCAGGCTGTTGAAAGAGCAGTGGTTGCCGGAACAGTCCAGTGAACACTAGCCACCTCCAAAAGTGCTCCTGAGCACTGTCCGCCCAAGCACAGGCCACCAGATAACGTCATTCCAAGTGACCCTGACAGGAAACAAAGAGGGTCTTAGAGAGCTCTTCATGTCTAGGTCCTTCCATCATTGGTATAAAAGCAGAAGGAGCCTTCCAGAAACTCGGTGGGACAAGGCAGTCCTCTTGACTTGATGGGTGTGTGATTGTGTGGGTAGAGCCACTCCAGAGGGAAGGAGCACAGCCCCCCAGTTCAGCCCTCAGGAGGAGCGGGACAGACTATGTCACAGAGCAGCAGATGGTGAAGTTGGGGTACAGAAGTAGAACAAACTCAGTGGCCCAGACAGAGGTCTGGACTGCACACCCTGGTATCCGGGTTCAAATGGTTCCTAGCTTCAGCATCCTTCTAGCACAGGACTTGGGCCTGCCGAAACCCAGGCCAGTTCCTCCCACTGTTGCCACCACTGTGCTTACAAGGAGACATGGGCTTGGCCTGTAGAGCTCCTGCTCCTTCATGAGATGCTGATGGAGCTACCACATTTCTCCAGGAACAAAGGATAGCAAAGGGGGGGAAAGAGAGACAGGCAGCACCCATGTGTTGGCACAGTAGCCACTGGTGACATCCTCTTAATGGTGGAATTGAGAGTGGAAAAAAATTATCCCTATATGTGTGTGGTGTGCGTTTGTCTTGCCTTATTGGCAGAGGACAGAAGTGGAGAGGCCTGGCCTGGACAGACGTCAGTAACATGATTAACTGGCTTTGATAAAGCTTCAAGAGCTGAGGGGAACTGGTTAGCTCATCTGTCAATAGGAGCTAAATCCTCCCAGAAGGCAGAGAACAAGCCATGCCAGCCATGAACTGAAGGGAAGCTGGGCAGATGGATTCAGATTTGAGGTTCTTTGTTTCTTTCTTATTAATTCTTTTAAGGGTCTGGCCTCTATTTCTTTTTTCTACCTTCTCTGGTGGAGAAGAAAAAAACCCTTTGCATCTCCAGTGATGTCACTGTTAAGCTTAATGCCCTAAGCTGGGAGCTTTAATTTTTTCCAGCCGAAGAGTGAGCAGCCATGCCGTTCCTAGGATCATTTCACAGTCATGTCTTGGGGCAGCCCCTTGTCTCGTGGTCCTCCCTGCACGGCTGGCAGTCCTGGTGGGCCAGGCATGCTGGCTTTCCTACAAACTCAAAAGCAAGTGGGAAGCATTACAGATGCAGTGAGTTAACATGTCTGTACGTGGCTTCTCTTGCCCAGCACCACAGAGACTGCCCAGAGATGGCTCCACTTGTGCTGTGTGCAGCACGTCTGCCTGTGCTGCCGGGCAGCCCAGCCGTACTTGACCAGGAGAGATGATGTTCTGGACCATGTGAGCCTTTGTATACATTTCCCTAGAAAAGTTCGTATGTGCATGCAGCCAGCCTTCTGCCCCTGCCACGCTCTGGTGTAAAACTTGCTTGTATTGTGCTTCAATACCCTTTGCAATCCCAGCTGCTGCTGCTCCCGGTCTGTAGTGGAGGAGAAGGGAGCTCTGAGCAGTGCTAGCTGAGATCTGGTGTTCACTCTCCTCCCCCCCGTCTCCTCCTCCTCTTCTTCTTTCTCTGCCCAAGTTGAACCAAGTGACAAATGAGGTCTTCACAGGGAGCTGTGACTCCCTGGCTGTCGATGCGGTCAGGTCTCTCCTCTGAGTGACTTCTCTCCAGCCCTGCTGATTTTAGGGGGCTGCACTAGTGCTAGCCAAAAGGCTGCTCTGTCCTGTGGGGAGACCAGGTCAGGTCAGGCCAGCAGAAGGGGCTGGTCAAAGGGAACTCCGCGACTGGGTTTAATTCCTCATTCATTATAGCTTTGCTCGACTGTGATGGATGCAGCAACGCCAGCTCCCTAGAAGACTCGCGGTGAATTCCTCACTGTGGAACAGCTATTCTCCCTTTCTTTATCCTTCTCCCAAACCTTGCAGCCTCGCAGTGTCTTTGATCGCAACCAGGCAAAGCCGGCTCCAGAGATTCAGAGTTCTGCTCCTGACTGCCAGCATGGCCCGAAGCCTCTTGTTACTCCTCCCTGGGCTTTAGTTCTACTTCTGCAAGTTCAGGATAAAACCTCTCATGGATAATTGCAGTGACAACGGTTCTTGAAATAAAAGGCATTTCGGTGTCTCCTCCTCCACAGTCCAGACCTTTTCCCCTTTTGACTTCCAGCCTGTGGATGGGTAGGAAGGATTTAGGAACTAAGAAATGCTCAGCGATGGGGAAAGAGCAGGACCTTATGTGCACTCTGTTCTACCACAGTTGGTTTTTTCAGCTAATGTAACACACACATTGTCTGTGCGTTGTTTGGTAACAGGCTGGGCAGCCATAGCTAGCAGAATGTTATACTGTAGGTCCTACACTAATTGTATGAATTCTGGTTGTTCCTTCCCTCAGTTTGATGCCAAGTTTTACTTTCACTGGCAGAGGAGCAGAGGTTTGAAAGACAAGGCATTTACTGAAGAGCAGATGTGCAGAAGCAGAGCTCCCCTGTAGTTCCTGCCAGTTCCCACTTCAGTTGTCCTTGAATGTCTCATGTCCATTGAGTAGCCAGTGACATTTGTCCAGGAGGCCAGTTCACACAGCCCGTCACTGGAGATGCTCACAGGACACTTCCTCTGGCACTGTAGAGTCTCAAAGCTGGAGCAGACACCAAATCTGCAGAGATCCTGACTATCGTCAGACGGGGAATATGCATCTAGTCAGCAACTGCTGAGCTGTTCTGTGTGATCTCCTCTCTACCAAGTCATTAAGGGATTTAGGTACCAATTTGCCAAGACGGAGATATCTGTGGCAATTTGCATGGGCAATCCCATGGCAGCACTGGTCTTTCCAGTGTGAAGTCAAAGGTGAGGGCACAAGTGCTCACTTGCACATATAGCTCCCTAAGTACAGATCATTTGGTTGTTACCTTCTTTTGAGCTGTACTTGATCTGAAATAGTCAGATCACCTCCAAGCTGAGCTCTCAAAATACAGCTATTAACCCAGAGACTATTGATCCATGCATCAAAATCCAGGGGTCTTGGGTTTGACCCTCAGTCACTCACATTCAGTAATACACTAGTTTTCTTTGGACTTGCTAGATCCTAACATGCTCCACAAAACCGGTTGTAAGGGACAGACTTGCTACCCCATCATCCACCATGGAAACAAAACCACAACCAAAGCAAAATGAATCTGCTCCTCACGACCAGCAGGACAGATGGTATGGCCTCATGTACCAGAAGCTACCTCCATCTGGGTAAGATGTGCAAGGTGGTCTTTCAACATTGTTCTCCCTCTTGCTCTCAGACATCTAACAGGAGGGCAGGAAGCACTTGAAAGGATTGTTTGGAATTTGTGGGAGTCTCCGATACTGGAGTTTTTTTTATGAACCTGTTAGAAAACATATGTCAAGAACAGGTTGTGGAGAGATGATCCCAGTTTGTGAAGGAGGAACAGAATAAATGCTTCTTGATATCCAGCCAGCCCCAACATCTTTGATTCTGATCTCTCCGTCTTTCATGTGTGCTATCTCTGATCGTGTCTGTAGGACAGATATGAGAGTTGGATTAAACTAGAAACTGGTAATGGTGCCAGCATAGGTATTGCTCTGCTATGAAGCCATCTACAATACAGACATTTGAGATCAGCAACCAGGAAATGAATGAAAATGAGATGGGGACTGTTCATTTGATAAACTGCTCTCTCCGTGGGTCCATGAGAGGTAAATCCAGAAAGCTGGAATAGAGAGGGATTAGCAGAAATGCAGTTATCAAAATGCACAGATAAATGGAGTGAGCCTTTTGTAGGCCTGAGTTACTGAGTAGGGAGAGTGGCAGCTTAGAACTGGGCTGTAAATCCTGAGAGATACCTGCCTGTTAATTAAATTACAGTCCTTGGAGGGAGGGGGGCGGGTGTTGCCTCTCTCTGTGTCAAGGTGCAATTAGAGAAAGTCAGGGTTTGTAGATTAAGGTGTCATTTGGGTTCAGGAGGACAGGAAACCATCTCCTGTTAAACAAGGAGGAACTCTGCCAGCTAATGAGACCATGTCGCAGTCTAGGCTCAGGCATCACCAGATCGGCTCCAAGGGGGAAGCGTGTCTCAGGAAGGCCATTAGCAGGCTGTGTCACTATTACAGTTTGTGTGTGCCGTCCTGCTTGTGCTCACACATGGGTATCCCTGTGGTTGGCATGCAGCGGGGTTTATCCCCAGCGATGCAAAAGGAATCCAATCTGCCTCTCCTTGGATCACTGTCTGGTGGGGACT